CTCAGACAACGTTAGGACTGCGACTCTCCTTGGCTATCCAGATATGCGAACATACTGAGCGTTTACAGCCGGCACCGCGTGAAGGTGAAGAGTTCGACTTTGCCAGCCCGTGGGCGGATGTAATTTGCGAGATAGTGACTAAGCTAGTATTAGTCACCTGATCTAACAACATTTTTTTTTTTTTTTTTTTTAAATCATATTGTATTAAGCCTAAAAGCTATGACAAAAGATTTAAAAAAAATTTAAATACAAATGGAAATCCAAAATCAACTCCTCCCCAGGCCTTGGAAATAAAAGCTCATAACTTAATTAATTACCTTGCCTAACTCCATGAACATAATTGACCCTTTAAAAATTATATCTAATTAAATCCCCCAAAATCCAAAAGAAAAACCACCAAAAATGCTTCTTTAATCATGTTTTCACTTGAATATTTGTTTTGTGCTGTTTTTTTTTTTTTAGATTATTCTTTTTCCAGGGTTAGGCATTTAGAACTCTCGAGGAATCTAAGCAGCTTTTCCCTGCCAACATTAGTATTGAAAAGTATTTGCAGATTAAGAGGCTCTAGCCCTTCATATGCCATTTTCCTATCTGCTGAGAATTGGGGGCAGTGTAACAACAGATGTTGCATGGTCTGCTTCTTCCTGTGACAGAAGTTGCACATGTCACTGCTCACTTTTCCAATCAGCTTGAGATAGGCCAGGGTGTTGCCAATCCCTGTTCTTGCCTGGAAATATGAAGACTGAGTTCCCCTGGAGTATCTTTGAAGTTTAATAGATTTTAATTTAAAAATTGGGGATGACTGCCTTGCAGAAATCCTGTAAAATCTTCCTAGGCCAACAGCCTTCCTACCCTCTTCCTCTCTAAGCACTTGCTTAGTCCAGTCAGAGTTCCAGGCTAAGATTATTCTTTTTCTGATTTGCTCTTTTAAAAATGAATGTGATGTAAACTGATCCCTCTTAATAATAGCTTGATCTAAACCTTTCCTTGCTAGGTTGTCAGCTAGTTGATTTCCTTGGATTCCTGAATGTCCTGGACACCAGTGCAGCTGGACTTCCAGTTTGCGGCTCAGGGATCTGATTTTGAAGGAATAGAAATTGGTGGCTGTAGTAATTCTCTGCAATGCTACTTGACTATCAGAAAAAATATAACATTTAGCATTTGGATCTAAAGAAATCAGATGTCTAAGTGCTTTATAAATTGCAAAAGTCTCGGCGTCAGCAATACCAATGTTCTTTCCTAGAAAGAATGAGAGGCACTTGAGCTCCCTTGTATATGGGAGGTACATGGCTATGCCTATTCCACAACCCTTGTTCTTGACTAAAGAGCCATCTGTGTAGATAATATAAAATGAGGAAGGAATGGAATGAAATAATGAAAGATGTTCTTCTTTTGCTTTTGTTTTATCAGAGCAACTAATAGATACAGAAATATTCTCTGTTCTCCAGGGGGGCATCCACTTGGCATTGAGGGTCTCCAAGTTTAGTAACTTGGAACTTGGCTTGAGCATACTGGCTATTCTTTGTAGTTGACTACTTGGTTTATCCACCAAGAAAGCAAGCATGCCTATGTCAGTCTTTTCAGTAGGAAGTGCAAGCTCATCAGTAAGATTAGATGAAAGAGTATGATATAAAGGGTGATTTGTTTGAAATTTGAAGATTCTCATTGCAAAAAAAGAAGCTATCTTATAATGTCTCACTCTAGTTGGAAGCAGGCCTGCCTCAACTTCCAAGGCCTTACTTGGACTAGATCTATAGGCACCTGTTATTTTTAGAATGGCTTGCTTCTGGATTTTATCACACATATTTGATAGCTTCTCTGTACCATATTTGCTATACCATAGGACTGAGCCATAGTCTAACACAGGGATGACACAACTGAGGTAGAGCTGTCTGAGTGCATTAAATCCTAAGCCTTTAGATTTGGAAGAAAGTTGGACGAGTCTTTGCATAGCCCCTTGGGCAAGATGCACCCTTTTTTCTACATGGGTTTTAAATTTTAGATTATTCTGTAACCATATTCCTAGCCACTTGACTGTAGTCTTAGGTTCTAAGGAGAAATCTTCAATTTGGAGAGAATTGCTAAATGTTTTTTTGCCTCTGGAAAAATGGATAAGCTCTGATTTGGATTTTTCAAAAACAATAGAAAGGGAATCAGCTCTTGAGAAAAAGGATTGAAGATATTTTTGAATCTCTCTCACATTCTTAGCAACTGAAAAAGAGCTGTAGGAAATGCAAATATCATCAACATATGAAACTTCAAGGGCATTGCTTGTTGGACTATTAGAGAAGAGTTCACTGATTGAAATAAGGAATAAAAGAGGTGAGATAGGACTTCCTTGTGGAGCACCTGTTACAGAGTAAACATGACTTAGCTGCCCATTGAAAAGGAGAGAAATTTTCCTTTGAGAAAGAAAAGAATCAACCCAGGAAATAAAGCAAGCTGGGAAATGTTTTCTCTGGAGGATGTCTATGAGCTTACTTGGCTGCAGTCGATCAAATGCCCCCATTATATCTAGAAAAACAGAGGAAACAACCTTATTCTTAGAAAGACTGTTTTCTATAAAGTTTTGGAGGAACAGGACTGCATCAACAGCAGATCTTTGTTTTCTACCTCCCATCTGACTAGGATGAAGGATATCAGGGTGAATATTAGCTAAAAATGAAATTCTTTGTGAAAATATCCGTTCTAAGAGTTTTGAGAGACAAGAAATCAGTGAAATAGGCCTGTAAGCTTTGGGAACTGAGTAATCTGGCTTATTTCTCTTTGGGATGATAATGCCAATGGATTCTTTCCATACTGATGGATGTTTCCCACATTGAAATAGAAAGGTATATGCTGTTAGGAAGAATTGGGGGATAGCATCTAGAGCATATTTGATCATAGTCCAGTCAATTGAGTCCTTCCCTGGAGAAGTCTTCTTGTCTGGTACTGCTTGATAGAGCTCTGTGAGGCTCAGAGAAGGCCAGGTGTATTGCTTTAAACCTTGTTGAACTGAAGGATTACGCATAGCAAATGAATTTGATCTCGAGTTAGGGGATAAACATGATGAATTACTTGCCTCTTCAAATGGATCAGAAAGAACTCCAGCATCAACTAATGCTGTATTATCTCCCCCAGTGTTTTCATGAGTCTGTAGTGGGTTATTCTGAGGAAACAGAGATTGGACTAATGCATTACACTTGTCTGCAAAACTTGAAGCTATCACTTGATCCCCTTCAGGGCTTTTGTAAACCAGAGTTGGAATAAGAGAAGGCTGATGAAACTTCGGATTTGAGTAATTATAGGCTGTGAATAGACTTCTATCTTTGGCCTCAGCAAGGAAAGATTCCCAATGCTCTTTTTTGCTAAAGGAGATACTTCTGAAATAGTGGTTTCTTGATACTCTTGCATTTTCAATGTCTTCAGGTAACCATGACTTCTTAGCTTTTCTTTTTAGGGCATGATATTCTTTCCTAAGACAAGTTAGTTCATCTGTCCACCAAGCCTTAGAATGTTTAGATGGTTTTGATCTAGGTATTGCATTTTGTGTTGCTTTTAAAATGATATTCTCAAGTATTTTGGCCACCAGGTCATGGTTTTCTGTCCGGATAGCTTCTTGGAGAAGTAGGCTGGATCTCTCTTCACTTGATATAAGATTTTGCCTATATGCTTTCCAATCAGCCTTTTTGAGATTAAATCTTGCTGGTAAACATGAATACTGATTTTGTGAAATTGGAAATCCTGCTTGGAAGAAAATAACTTCATGATCTGAGCCAGTGCTTTCCCCATAATGCCAATTATGCCAGGATACATGTCTAAAATTAGAAGCAAAAGCCAAGTCAATAATTGAAATACTTTTAGAGTTGCATCTATGAAAAGTGCCTCCAAATTCTTCTATAACTTGTGAGTCAACCAGCAGACTTGCTTTATGATGCTGAAGAAATTTGAAAAGTTTAGTAGCTTGGGATACTGGATTGGTGATAAGGGGATTCCACCAAGGATGGTGAAGATTCATATCACCTAAGAAAAGGAAAGGTTTGTCCAGAGAAAGGTCAAGTTCCAGAAATCTTTGGAAGGTAGTCTTAATAACTCCTTCTACATTAGATTTTTCATTGTATATATGAATAATGTAAAAACTTTCCACAGTTGATGTAAATTCAAACAATTGCATGTCAGGGTCAGAGATTAGATCAGTCCTAGCTGATATATCAAAAGATGAGGTTTTTTTAATATATGTTACTACCCTTGGCTTCACACTAGTGTTGGTGTTGGGTAAAATCATATGGTAATTTGGATGAGATAGAGAAGTAAAGGATTGTATTGAAGAATTGAAATAAACATATGGTTCTTGTACAAAAACTATTGTGGCATTTCCTTGCATTGAAACTTCAAAGAGGGACTGGGTAATATCTTTGCCCTTGGCAGAATTATGTTGGCATATAATTAGTTGTTCTAACATGTTAGTGCTTTGTAAAATTCACAATCTGTTTTTTGTAAAGCATGGTGTTTGGATGAATGACAATTAGTGCATTTCATAGGGTGATGTGTGCAATTTTGAGAAGACTTGCATTGGGCACAACTGTGAAGTGAGGTAACATGGTTTCCTGAACATATAGCACATACAGGAATTCTCTTGCAGGAGAGCTTAGAATGACCATATTTCAGACAACTAGTACAAAGAGTTCTCTCAGTACTTGGTTGAAAGTTTACAGCCTTAAGTAGTAAGCCTCCAATGAGTATCCCTGTCTGGAGAATTGATCTTTTTTCCTCTTCTGAACCAACTGTGACTACAATTGATCCATGGTTTGCCTTAGGGGGGCCTGTAAGCCATCTTACTACCCTAGGAACTGAAATATTTGGGTTGAATGATGAAATCTCTTGTGGCATAGTTGTGATGGGAATAGATGCTGGAACTCCATGAACAACAACTGTTGGCCAATTTTCAAACTTTTGAATTCTTGAAATAGGCCATCCAGCAAAAACATTTTCCCACTTGGATTGATCCTTCAGCAGTTCTTCAGGATTTGAATTAAAACAGGTTAAAACAAGGTTATTTCTGGGTGAGACATGAACTCTAGAAATTGCTATCTTGCCCATAGCTTTGTTCACTGCATCTCTAAGCTGGGTTGGCTGGTGCACTGGCACAGAGCTACCTTTAGTTATAACAATGGTTATAACCTTTTTTTCCTGAGGAGAGTCTATGTTTAGTTGAGGACTAGGTTCTTTCTTTTGTGAGGGGAGCATTAGAGGAGTATGTGACTTAGCTGGTGTTTTTGCTAGAATTTGTGCAAAACTTGGTCCTGTATCCCTAAGACCCTGACTACTCCTCCAGTTATTATTGGATTGACTTGGATGGCCCATGTGAGTTTTGGTGGAGGGGATGTTAAGTGGTGCTTTGGTGTTGATAGATTGTTTCTGTGAAAGGGGGTAAGGATTTAAAATCCTGCTCTGTGTATTCTCTGAATATGTTCAGAAAGTCTAGGATTTGGGTTTGGAGATCCCTATTTGAGGTTAGCTTATATGCCTCTACAATATTATCTCTTGCAGCAAAGAGAGCTTCTTCAGCACTGTTAAACCTTGTTCTGTTAGTAGCTAGATTTCTTGAAGATGGATCAGAGGGAGCAGGAGTGACAGTGGGAGTGGTAGTTATAGATGATGAGCAAGCAGATGTAGTGCTAGCAGGACTTGAGAGAAACTGGAGTGAGGAGGAGAATTTTGTCTTAGAGAGTAGGCAGCTAGTATTAGTAGGAGGATGGGGGCATGGACTTGGTGAAGGTGTTGTAGGAGAGGAGGTAGGGGAAACATAGCTGTTTATAGGTTTGGTGCCCTCTTCTGTTCTCACTGGTTGAAGTGTGCTATCCATGTCAAGGTCTATGTTTTGGCTACTATGCAGTAGGCATAGACAGCCACATTTTTTTGATGTTTCCTGAGCAGTTATCATCTTAAGAACTTTGTTTGGTGCATAAGAGCCATCAGTAGTTATGCAAAGTGGTCTTTTTTTGTTTTGGGGTGTTTTTGGCTCAATGATTTGTGTTGGTCCTGAAGTAAATTCTAGGGAGGTTATAGGATCACTACTTAAGTCAATGTTATTAAATTGAACAATAGGAAGGGGAAGATGAGAAGTCTTTTTATTTGATTTGGCCTTTGTAATCTTGTTAGCTTTACTAGCTCCCTCTTTCTTTGAACCTTTGGTTTTTGATATAGGTGTTAGTATTTTTTTTTTAGATTGGTTGGTTGTAGAAGAGCTGGTATTGCTGGACTTATTTGCCCAGATTGAGGAATCAAGTCTGGGTTGGCTAGCTAGGTCAATATCCATAGAGGTAGTTGAGTTTGTTTTGTCCCCAGATGGGCTTTGTGGGGTATCCATGGTAGGTATATAATTGTGTTTGATGCACCAGAAAAATATTTATCACTATCTTCGCAACCAGATGTCGCAGAATCAATTAG